GGTGCTGGTGCTGGTGCTGGTGCTGGTGCTGGTGCTGCTGGTGCTGGCGCTGGTGCTGGTGCTGGTGCTGGTGCTGGTGCTGGTGCTGGTGCTGGTGCTGCTGGCGCTGGTGCTGGTGCTGGTGCTGGTGCTGGTGCTGGTGGTGGTGGCGGGGCTAAAGGGTGAGGCTGATGGCGGGTAGCTGTTGTTGCTGTCAGGTGGACATTCCTCGGGTAGCCCGCTTGGTGCGGCCCTGCTTGCCAGATCTGGAGCTTGGGAGCCTGCCGCTGCCCGAAGCCCACGATTTGGACTTCGAGCCGACCTGGCGAGCACCTGGCTCAGAAGACTTTGAAACCACCTGTAGCTCCTGCCTGTGTGCGTTAAAAGTAGACACAGACACCCCGTTTAACCAGATTCGCCTGCTGAGGATCTGCCATATGCGGAGGAGCTACCAGAGCCCTGTCATGACGACGAGTTCTTGGGAGGGGAAGAAGCCGGGTTGGAGCGGCTGGCCGACTATCTGTGGAGGACCGACTTCCAGCTGCTTAGCTTAATACATCGATACGAATATTCCGCGCGCTCATGTGGGCTATCAAGGTACACGTTTCACGCAGACCGCTTGGAGCATTTCGGTGAGTACTATGCATCCAGATTGGGGCCCTGGATGGCACATGGCTGTCTCTCGCCCCGCAAGGTCAGCACCAGAAGTTGCGCAACGCTGAGCTGGTGAGCTGGTCTCTTGAATCAATTGGGCGCAGGTCTTTGAAGAGATTTGCCGCTGCGAAGTCCACTCTCCGGGCCTGTCACACACGCAGCGCCTGGCGGTCGAGTTGACTTGGCGGGACTTCTTCCGATACCTGTCCGGGAAGCATGGCGCCGCCGCGGCAAATATTGAAAGGATATCGGCAGTTTCCCAAGTTCGAACGAGAATCTTCGGGATGGACTGAGTTTGGGAGAGTCCCGGAGGATGAGTCTACAGTGTCTACAGCCGAGGTAACGGCATCTTCCGTGAAGGTGGGGTGAAAGGCTACAAGCGACAGTGGAAGCAGGACGTTCGCATGTTCAATCTCTGGTCGGAAGGTCGAACTGGTGCCTTGGACTTGTAAGCACCACAAACACCAGTGGACGTGTGTAGTGTCCTGACAAGAGAAACATCGGAGATGCCCAAGTATGCGATCTGCGTTGCAGGCTACCCACTCGTGGACGCCTGCATGCGCGAGCTGGGAGTCACTGGCCTGGCATCAAACCACGCGCGGCTGAATGCAGCGTCCTTTCTTGCCTGCAGCATGGGCTTCGACTGGAGGCTGGATTTCCGGCAAAGGAGTAGGGAGAGTCGAGAGGGTCAGATTGGAGGTTGAAGGCACCACGGCTACCCGTCATTGCCTTCACTTCCTGTGAATGCATCTTCCTCTTACATCTGCTTGCAACAGCTGCTGTAGTTGCTGAGTTTCCTTTCCGCGACTGATGCGATCCTGAGCAGTGGTAGCAATATCATTACGGCTGTCACCACAGCATCAACAAAAGCAAAGGCAGCAAAAAGCAAAGTGACAACAACAGCGATACCAGCGGCAACAGCAGCATCAACTAGCCGGTGCCCACGGTAGGGTAAGTACAGGTGCTGTGTGGTGGTTTCAGCATCTCTGTGAGATTGAAGGATCGAAGAGTTGTACTTCCAAGATACTTGTTGTGGCACACAATCCTTGGTCTAGTGCGCTGGTTGTTGCGCAATCGTCGCTTCGGGCACCTGTAGTTACAGCCTGTCGTTCGGTTTGCATGGTGTGGAGTTCGGAATCCGAGCTCTCAGCAGTAGGCTGGTGAGCTCCGCAGTAGTGCTGTGCAGAAAAACCCTGGGCCCAATGATTCACGGAGCAGAATCTGCTCAACAAGTTTTCGATGACCTGTCTCTCGGGACTCTCTGTGGCTTCAGCGCTATTAAGGAGCGTTTGAAGGACCGGCAAACTCTGTCCCAACTCTTTGTGTCGGTGCGCTTGCCGGAACTGTTTTGAGAATTTTTGCTCCAGGGTGAAGGGTGAAGAGCGTGTTCTGGCAACTCACCCATGGAGGCGAACCCAGGGATAGAAACGACCAGTACCAGATGGGTAATTCTCTGAATTCGGGGTCCCTGTTTAGGTCCCCAATATAGTACGGCACCTTTATAAAAAGGATCCTAAAAGGGACCCTAATTTTGAGAATTACCCAGATATTGAAGAGTTTGCAGGCGCGGTGCAGATTGGTTTGAGAGCCATCTTCTAGACTATGCCACTTTGCCGCACAGGGGTCCGGCGATAATTGTTGTGGCGTGGGTCCGGCTTCCTGCGCAGGGTAGCAGTCGAGTCGGTAGTGTAGCACTTGCATTTTTTTGGCACGGCACCTTGCCCGAGATCAAAGATCCATCAAGGCAGTCAACGAAACTTGGTTCAGAGTGCTTGAGTGGCCTAATACCTTTTACGCAACCGTTGCGTGGTGCTAGTGATTTACCGTGGAGATGGGAGTTACGGGAGTTCCGGAGAACAAGACTCATCATCCCCATTCATGACGTGAGGATGTAACCTCCAACTGGGCGAATTGGGTCCGCTGCGCTGGCCTCACGGAGGGTCGCCTGAGCTCTTTCAACGTGGCTTCTTGGCTTTGGACTTGAGAACGGTGGCTCCGAACAGTGTGTTTTCCAGAAAGAGAGTGGCGGCACTTTCGAGAGAGAGTTGGCGGGGCGAATCCCCATAAGGTCAGGCAGTCGCAAAAGCTAGACCCAGAGGGGGTGTACCTGAAGCGCTGGCTGCCAGAGTTGGAGCAGGCAGTCGACAGTTCTCTGCCCTTATGCCATAAATAGGATTAAATAGGAATAGTTGTAATCATCGTAATGGTAAGAATAGAAAACCACCAGTAATATAATAGTGATAGTAATAGTAGTAACAGCAGTTAGTAAGATTAGCAATGGTAATTTTGATAGCAATAGTAAAAAGTAGAATTAGATAGTTAAATATACAGAAAGCCACAAAATACGGGTCTCTAACTATACGAATACTAGTTATAAGCAAATCCACAGAAAAGGATAATAACAATCGTGATAACAGGCAGAAATACTGGTAAGTATAACAATACTTATAAATGGAGAACGGCAGTCCCTTCCGTATACCCTAAACCCTAAGCCCTAAACCCTGAAGTGGTAGCTGCTGTGCGCCACTTCGCTAGTGAGAGCCGGAAGGTCGACGCCCCTTTGATCCACGAACCGCCCCTTGGCCCAAGCTCCGATACCGAGTTCAAGGGGCTTCCTTGGGGATTACACATATGAAAAATGAGATAAGTGTGTAGACATATATATATATATATATATGTAATATATGTATGTACAGTAGAAAAAGTATAAAGACATATAGTAAATAGTATGTATGATATAATATGTAATACATAATTTGCAACATATGACATATGGTATATAATGTAAAGCATATACCATCTAGTGAAGAAAAAGAAGTACATAATGTGGGGGGAAACTCAGGTGGCTGATGACCAGCGAGGAGGCCTCGGTCTCGGGTGCCTCCGCTTACCCGCCTCCCTGCATCGACCCGTCCTTCTTCGAGGGCCGCTTTGGGCCTCGCCAGGGGGCAGCGAGGATTCCGCCGGAGCGATACAAGGAGGACCTGGCAAAAGAGCCGGCTCGCGACGTGCATGGCGAAGTATAGATGCGCAGGAATCCGCGCACCTCACCTGATGCGACGGTTGCATGTCTTGCCGCCGTTTCTGCATTCGAGCTCTGCCAGGGGAAGCGAAAGCATGTACAAAGCAGCAAATCAGACATCCCCCGTTCAAAAAGCAGGCGGAGGCCATGCACTGTTTAGTCATATACAGATCAGCACCACCGGCACAGGTTGGCCACTAGGCCTGGCAAGCCAGCCCCACCAAGCATATGCCTGAGCCCTCTGACACCTGTGCCCGGGGTGATCCGGGACCGAAAGCATAGTAAGTCTTTAGCACCGTCCTGGTTCCAAAAGATATCGCAGACACGTCCCGGCCCTACCAGGAGCAGTTTGATGTTTGGTTTCGGCTTGCCGTCAGAACCCACCAAGTTTGTGCCATTCGCTGATCCCAGGATGGATGCGGATCCTCGATCAGAAGAGGCCTGGCAGCTAGGGATGGCTCACTCCATGCTCTGCTGAAGGTTCCACCGGAACATACAACATCATTGCAAATTCCTGGAAGTGGAATCTCTTCCTGCTGGTAAGCGATGCTGAAAAGCTTGGCAACTCATCCTTCATGGCGAAAGCAAGCAAGCGCCGGATGTGCCTTGTCACTGAAAGCCAGGTCAAAGAGCACTTCACCCTGCGGAAACTCCAAGAGAGGGTTGGCAGCCTTAGAAACTTCGGTCGTTCTGCAGCTTGACATAGCAGTCCTTGCTTTCGGACTGCAGTGGACTTGCGGCATTGGAGAGCATGTGGCTGCCACCCTTTATCAATGGTGCCAAGCTTCGCGCAAGCATCAGTCATGGGTACCTTAAGCAGAATCTACTGTTGCATCGACCATCGTCGGGAGAGATGGGCATTTGGACGGCTTTTGTCTCTTAGCACCAAGCCGTGGAAAGGGGTTGAACCTCCAAATGCGTGATAGCGTTTATTATCTATGTTATAATACGGTATTTTGAAGTCTGGTATGGTGAAATATACTACAGTACATTATAATATGATATGGTATAACACGGGATCATACAAGATACTTTTATATAATATACTATACTATACGATAAAAAATTGTAATATGATATGATGAGGTCATATATTATCTAACATATCTGTATGTACATATATATATACATACATGTATGCA